TTTTTCCTTTTTAAGTCAGTTTGAGCAATTTGTTTTTCCATTTCATTGACATTTTCAAATGTATTAACATAAAGTTGTATATCATATTCTTATAATGTTTTGAATCTTGTATGTGTCTCATTTCTACTGTCTTAAGAAATTTAGCAAAGATTTGTCTATTTAATAGGTTTATTCTTTTACAAGTTCTTGGATTTATTTATAAATTCTGCCATCTTTTTGTTTTCTGTGAAGATTATTTAATGATCCCAGCTACCCTAGATCCCTCTGACTTTATAGAGCTAGGCACTCCTTCCTTTATGAGGCAGCTATCTTCCGGAAAAGTTGCATATTAGTGACACTTTTATAAACGGAATTGCACTTTCCACTGATTGGCCTTTTCATTTCACAAGTACTTTATTTTCATTTCTTTAATCTTCAGTGATCTGTAGTTAACGTTTCTTTAAAAATAGACTCCAGAACACCAGGGAGCCTTCATGTTTAAAGAGCCTTTGGTTTTTATGGTGCAAAGTATTTATTTGAATCACCACCCTCTGTGTCTTTGTTTTTACATAGTAGGTGTTCTTAAAGTGTGATACAACTAGTAGAGTTGAACACATTCACTTTCTACCTTTTGTTTATTCCTATACAAACCTGTGGCCTTCATTATTACTAATCTCGGCTTATGAGAAAAGGATACTGCAGCTCATTTGTAGATTAATTCTTCCTTTTTTATTGTTCATACAGCACACTAGCCTCTCACAGGGTATGGGCTTTGTTAGTTAGGAGGTAATTTTTCCGCTTGGTTTTGTGATTAAAGGAATTTGGTTGAAAGACAGCTGTTAACTCTGGAGAGCCCTGTGGGGTGGGAAAACAAAGGCTGCTGGTCCTGTCCTTGAACAGGTGTCCTTGCTCTTGGAACCAGGTGAGCTGGTTCACCATGAGTTAGCAAGGCTCTGTGAAGGGACCCAAATGGTTGGCTCCTGCAGGAGCCAAGGACAGCCTTTCTTGAAGCATTAGTGCTGAGTGTTGTGGCCCAGCCAAGGCTCCAAGCATTCTGTTTGATGATGCTTCACGTTATATTTGACTGTGGTTTCTTTTGTTGCCTGTGGCCAGGGTCTTAGGAGACAGTGGAATCACTGCCTTCCTACTGGGATTCCAAGTCTTCTAGCCTACCCATTGTACTCAGGCTTGCGTTGGCGTTTTCCTCCTGTGTTAACACTGGTCCTTAAGGTAACCCAAAATATGGCACCTGCGCATTTGGGAAAACAGCAGAAGCAGGAAGGGGCACCCTCACCTGCTCCCCACCGTTTTCCCCTGAAGCAGGTCACAAAACCCTCAGGTGAGAGGTGCCTTCTCTACACCCAACGGAAAAGCACATCCTCATCTCTGAAGATGAAGGATCACAGATGAGAAACAGGCCTTGCTAAGTTCCCCTCAGTTTGTTACCATTAGATGGTACTCTGTCCGAATATCTTTCTCCATGCTGTGCACTCTGTGTCAAATCTCCCGTAAAAATACTCATTTAACCATTTCTTTGGGTCTTCATTTCCTTATGAACCCTCCCGTGGCATGTAAATTTTCTATTAAATCTATTAACTATGCTTTTCTCTTGTTAATCTGTCTTTCCTTATAGGGACCTCAGCCATGAAGCTAAGAAAGGTAGAGGAAAGAATTTTCCTCCCCTACATAGGGGAATGTCAGCTTCCAGAGAATCTGCATTCTTAACACCTCTAACAAGCCTCTTACAATGCTTGGGGCAGGGCTGGGCTGGAGGGCGTTTGAGGACAAGCCCTAGTGCTGGACCCCACAGCTGCTCCTCCCTTCTGCCCCCAGCCAGTGCTGGGTGTTGGACCCCACACGCAAGCGTGCACAGAGCTTATTCCTTCCTTGGCTCCATAGTTTCCATTTCAATCTGAGGCTTCCTCTACCTCTCCCAGGAGGACTAAGGATTCCCATGCAAGTTGCTCACCTGGTAGACTGCCCTGAGAGACCCCAAATTCCTCAGGTGAATAGCAGATGAGCTGCCCTATTTGGGAGGTTTGAAGGCCATTTATGAAGTTTGACCTCTCGCATTCCAGTTAAGTATCTGATTTCCTTTTGCTTGGGTTATTTCTAAATCACATTTTCATTCCCTGAGTGGTAACTGGGAGAGGTACAAAGAGCCCCCATGCTTCAAGGGTGTCATGGAAAACCAGTACCTTAACACCCCTTTTCTATAGGACAATCTGCAGATGAATATTTGGGAGTTGCTTGCCATTAAATTCTTATCATTAGAAGCCCATCTTTTCTGCCCCTCTTTTCCATTCTCATTTGTTCCACAGTCCACCGTACCCATGGCTTCCTAGAGAGATAAAGAATCAGTAGGAGCCGATTGGAGTTTTTCAAACGCATGGAAACAGCAGGACACATACACCACGACTGGGTGTGCGACTCCTTGACAGTGGCTTGTATCACTCCAGGGTGTGTATGTGTGTTTCCCTCTCATCCTGATTATTGCCCTCTAATTACCCCCACCCCAGAGTTAATCTCCCATCAAAATGTTGAGGGCGAAAGGGGTAGGTTAGTTAGAGGCTGTAAGTAAATGGTTTAACACCACAGCCCATTGGCAGAGATTAAAATGCAAATCCCCCCTCCCCCCAGTAGGTAGGAAGGAGCTTTGATGGATCCTTTTGCTGGAGGGAGGAATCAATAGCTAATGTAGTAATCAGGGCTCAGCAGTGGAAGTGGCTTCATTTCTATGCCCTCGGGCAGTTTTGTGGAGCCCTGAATTTGGGGAAATGGACCGAGGGCCCTAGAAGGAAGAGCTGGCCCTGCCGGCTAGTCAGTCCTGTGTGATGCAGAGAGAATTCCCAGGCACAGAAGGCTGCTTTCTGTTTTGTAGCAGCCTCTTGCCTGACTGTGTTTGAGTTACAGTGAAAACGCCAGTCCTGCCCAAAGAGGTGAGGGTCAGGGCTCACTGTCCGAGAAGGTAGAAGCAGAGAAGTGCTGAGGGCCGTTGCTGCTCATGGAAAGATCTCCAGCTGCAGGTTCTTGGCTTCTACTCTCCTGTAGCAACTGAATTCTGCAGCTGTGAATCTTCAGCTAACTTAAGCAGTGATTTCCAAAGGGGCTATGAATGGATTTAAGTTATAATTTAAAACTTACAGCATTTGTTTATGTCAAGAAATCAGACAAAGGTGATTTTATAGGAATTCTCCAAAACATAAGGGAGGATTTTTGGTCTAGAGCTATGCTGTCCAATACCACAGCCATCGGCCACACGCAGCTAATGAGCGCTTAGAATGTGGCCAGTCCAAATTAAAATGTGCTGTAAGGATGACATGTACATTGGATTATGAAGAATTAGTAAAAAAATAAAATAACTCATTAATAATTGTTTAATATTTGTTTCATATTGGATACATTGGGAGAAATAAAATAGGTTCCTTTTTCCCACTAGAGGGAGATATGTTCCAGCTTCAGGAAATCTGAGGTCAGCATGTAAACTTCACTGCTTTTGAATGTACTCTTTTTAAAAGAAGAAAAAGCTCAAGTTTTCGCTTCATTTTAATTCTGCATAATTCTGATGTTTCTGGAGGTTGCACTTTATGTGAAAGTGAAGCCGAACAGAAGAGGGAAGAGGTAGAGAGGTTTTCCACCTCTTTGTGTTAATGAATTCAGAGATTCCTGTTCCTCCTCCTCTGGAATGCAGTAACTTGTCATGCGTTCGCTGACCGTGCCCTTGGACTTGAGTCTGTGTGCAACGCACACATCTACACGCACGTACACACCCAGCATGGCCTTGCGTGCAGCTGTAACAAAGGACCAGTGCCCTGCTGCAATCACACATCTCTCCAGCACTCCCAGAGCACGTGGCATGCGACGTTCATGGGGCACCCAGAGTTGTGCCGTCTGTACCCGGGCCAGTGTGCGACACCTCTCCCTTTCCTGTTGTTCCTAAGTGCGGTGTTGCCTGAGGTTCGGGGCTGGGGTTGCTGTTTGCACATAGTGCGTGTGAACCTGCACCTTGATCCTGCTCTGAAACCAGCATCATTTCATGATTGTGTTTTAGGGATGCCACTGTCTCCTGGTTTTCCTTCTGGGCAGTTCCTTTTTGATTTCCCATGGTTTTTGTACTTCTGTTGATGTGAAAAGCATTGATTATTTTTTTCCCCCCTTTTCTTGGGTATGTGCTCTTTGTCACTTTCTGGGGGAATTGCGGCCATTCTGACACCTTTGTCACTACCTTTATACTGAGCGCCTCTGAGACTTCACCTTAACTGCAGGCATTTGTTTTGAGTTGCACCCACACCCATCCAGCTGCCTGCTAGACATCACACAGACCTCAAAGTCGGGGCCCATGGCCCTTCTTACTTCCTGCATCGTGGTATGCATCAGCACTATTATGGTTTCTTATTCCTTGTTTGTTCCTCTTCCTCAGTGTACAGTAAGCCCCGGGGTAGGGGGCCAGTGGGGATGAAAGCCACGCCAATTGTATTCTGTGTCATTGCTAGTATCTCGCACCATGCCTGGTTACTGCACACTCTCAAGAAGTGTTCGAAGATTTTTATTACATCTTTCCTTGCAAATCAACTGTATTGTTTACATATAAACACGCTTCCTGCCAATTTATGATTCCGTTTTATTATATCTTGTTAGCATTATGTCATATAATGCAGTTATGATCACCGTAATTCTGTGGCATGGTGTGTGTAAAAATTTCTAACAGCCTCTACAAGTGAGGCATTTGCACTGGTCCCTCCTGTGTTTGCTTGTGTTGGAAGCTCTTTTCCCTTGTGTCCCTCTCCTTTCGTGACCCTTATCACAAGCCGAGTTTCCATCAGCCCCTCTGCGTATTTCCAGGAACTCGGGTCACAGAGCCCTGGAAAGAAAGGTCAAGGAGTGTGGCATGCGTCCACGCCTGCGGCCCAGGCCACAGGCTGCTTTTCCAGGACATAGTCCAATTCTTTTAATGCTCCTGCTATTCAGCCAACACAGTTTTGTTTAGATTTGTGACTAACAGAGACTTTTGTTCTTGTCAGAACATGAAGAGGAACTGGACCGAGAATTTGAGCTGGAGACTGACGCTTTATTTGGAGGATTAAAGAAGGTACAAGTAGATGAATGATAAACCTCAACTTTCAAACCTGGTTTCAATGTTGTACATCCCTTTTGTGTTTGGGGCGGACCCAGGCATTGTATTCGGCGACAATCTGGAATGACATGCCTTTTCTGCTGTGGAGGTGTGGCTGTCCTGTGTTGGAGAAGCCATTCCCACGGTCTTTATCATCTTGTCCATGCCAGAAATCTGCTGATGTAAACTTATCAGTTAGTATGATTTTTCACTTTCCTGAAGCCCGGGAAGTTCCTTCTTGATCTGGCCAAATCTGTTAGAATCAAATGCAGCCCCTCATGCCAACTGCTGGCACCGGCAGGAACACCTTCCTTCCGGCATCTGAGTGCCCCTGGCCATCCATGCTGCTGCAGAGCGTGCTGGGAACTCCTGTCCCCTCCTCCCCCTGGTGCTGCTGTGGCTCCAGCTCATTGTGCCTGCTTCAGTAGCAGGCCAGGATGGCCACTGTTCTGTCACCTACCTGTGTCCTTCTGTCCTAGAGTTCGGTGTGGGTCAGTTTGGTACGGATCCTCCTGTTTCAGTTGAGAGATGCTAGACTACTTTTTCTCCCACCACGACCACTTTCCCTTTGAGGCTGGGGGTCTTCTCATTCTTCGCCTTTCAGTTTCTTAGGGCCCCCAGTTCAGTAATGACTTGAATCACAGGAGGTCCAGGGCCCAGCTCATGGTTTGGGGTTTAGGTCAAGGCTAATTAGGATCTGTGCATTTGTTTTCTAAGTACCTCGATATGTTTTAAAAATATCAAAGCTTTTTTTCCTCCTTCTTCCTTTTTTTTTTTTTTTTTTTTTTTTTTTTTTTTTTTTTACTATTTTTCTCTAAGTATTAATATGTCATGTACCAAATATATTATAAATTCAGTCAGCTTTTGTGCACTGGCTTGGGACATAAAATCTTGCACTCCAAGTTCTGAACATCCTACTTACAAATGAACTTTTGGAAGACAATTTCCAAACTGGGTACTGCTTGTACTGACATTTCCCCACTTTGATAGTTGCAGATCTTGCTTAGAATTGCGACAAATTTACTTCAGTTTCCATTGTTATTTGGTGTAGGGTAACCTGTCCCTTTTCCCAGCTCTGTACAGAGACACTATATTAGATGGGAGGCCCATGTTTGTCTGGGACGACAAAGAACGTCCTGCCCTGTGTGGGGTGCTCTTCCTGGCTTTTGTTGTTCTACCTCCCAGATACTTCCATGAAGAGTTAGATGTAAATCAAATTTTCATTCATGACATCCATTGCTAGATTTTTAAAAAAGTTAAATAAGCCCTGCTTAGGATTAGCAATAAGAACGTAAGGTGGGCAGGATTGTGCCCACTTCCGAGATGAGGAAATTTGGCAAGCTTTCTGTTGCAGTGGAATTTGAGATGTGATAGGAGTTAGCCCTTGTGAGTGTCTTGGATCTACTCTTTAGAAATATAACACTATTGGATCTCTTACAACAGAAAAAAAAAATGGTTATCTTTTTTTTTTCCTTTCAGAGTCAAAATTCAGGCATTTCACAGAATATTGAAAATACAGAATTGTTTGCCAGGGGCAAAATTAAGCAAACATGTTTAAGAGACTTAGCTAAAGAGAAGCAATGGTGAGGCAGTATGAGAAACTGAACCCAAGTCAGGCCCCAGCAAAGTCTTGGAGCTATCACAGATGTCCTTGTGGAGGGCAGGCTAAGCTGAGCGGTGTGTTGGTACTTCCAGACAAAGGAGCATTGTCTTCACTGACTTCCCGGCTCCTGTCACTCCATCCGGTCTGGCAGCTTAACTCCCTGCCTGGGCTCCAGAGTCCTGGGGAGGTGACCCCTTCTAAGCATCCTCCACTGTAGCCTTTGGGACAGGGCTTGGGTCAGGAGTGCTGGCGTTCAGGCGAACTCTGCCTTTGCGGAAAAGTATGCAAGGCACAGGTATGTAACCTTGGTGTTCCAAGGACTCAGTCTTTTGCCATCCTGACCAATCTGCCCATCCCTCTGTCCATCTGACCGTCTATCCAGTGAGTACTTCTGTTTTCTCATCTTTCTTTCTTTCTTTCTTTTTTTTGAGACAGAGTCTCGCTTTTTTGTCTGGGCTAGAGTGAGTGCTGTGGCGTCAGCCTAGCTCACAGCAACCTCACACTCCTGGGCTCAAGCGATCCTACTGCCTCAGCCTCCCAAGTAGCTGGGACTACAGGCATGCGCCACCATGACCGGCTATTTTTTTTCTATATATTTTTAGCTGTCCAATTAATTTCTTTCTATTTTTAGTAGAGACGGGGTCTCACTCTTGCTCAGGCTGATTTCGAACTCCTGAGCTCAAACAATCCGCCCGCCTCGGCCTCCCAGAATGCTAGGATTACAGGCGTGAGCCACCGCGCCCGGCCCATTTTCTCATCTTTCTATATCTCATTACCTTGCATATGGGGTGAGTGGTTTGGAGTCCTAGAATTTAGAAACTGATGAGTCCTGGTGGATGTACAACAGATGAAGGGAATTGATACTGTGTCCTTAGGTTCTGGACACTCCTTGCTGAATATTTCCTCTCTCAGAGGCTATAGGAGGTGGCAAGTGAATGCTACTTTGGTCCAAATCCTAACCAAAAGAAGATATTAGGCGTAAATAGAAATAGTGAACTTTAGAAGAAAGCTTGTTTTCTGACATCCCTTAAATGCTACCTGCAGCCGGGGTGGTAAACCTCAGCACCGCTGACATTTTAGATCAGGTGACTATGTGGGGAGCTGCTCTGACATTGCAGGATGCTTGGCGGCATCCCTGGACTCTGCCTAGTTAGGTGCCAGCAGCATCTCCTGCCCCAAGTCTCAACAAGCACAAACATCTCCAAGCATTTCCAAATGCCCTCTGCAGGTAAAATCTCCCACACTTAAGAACAGCTGGTCCACAGCAATGCTCAAGGGCTTCGCCCCCACTCCCTTGTCATGCTGGTTTGCCATTCTTACCCATGCTCATCCTGTTTTCCCTTGTGAATTGTGCCTCACCCCTTCCCTGTGTGGCCCCCACTCTCACTTCAGATCTGAGCCCTGTCTCCCTGTTGTGGAAGCATTGCCTGTACCTCGAAATTGGGCTCGATGCTCACAGTTCCCGACACTTCCCTGCCTCCCTCTTTACTTCCTGCCAGAAAACAGCTTTTACTGAGTGTGTCTCTGTGCTCAAGTCCATGCTGAGTGCTGGGGACAGTGGTGAACCAGACAGACGAGGTTCCCATCCTAGCGTCTCCCAGCGGGAACAGATTGACAGTAAACAAATGAACAAACATAACAGCTACAGATTGAGCTAAATGATATGACGGTGATATTAAGCAGGCAATGTGACAGTAATGCTTGGATCATATTGTATGCTGTATTCTGACAAATTTACTTGTAGAATTTTGTATTATCCATGCCTTACTAGACTGTGAGTCGTCAAGAACAAGGCTGGGATTTAATTGTTTCTGTATCTTCAGTGCCTGGGATAGAGTAGGTGAGTACTTTATCGAATTCAAGTGCAGGAGAGAGTGAATAACACCAACACCATGCCAGGTTGCAGCACTAAAGTAAAATGCACTGGTCTAAGTGCATCTAACGGACATGCAGGCGGATGCTAAGTGGACGGTGTTTATGGTCAGAGACCCTTGTAAGCACAGCAATCACAGACTGCTTTTGGGAGGAGAAGGTTGACCTTCAGCTGAGCTCTAAGGAACGGGCAGGGTGTGGCAAGGTCATCAGTGGAGGAGATGCTATTCAGTGGGCATTGCTATAATTAGAAAAGAGAAGGACACACTGGGGAGATGGTGACTCAAAGTGAAGCTTCATTTAGGACAGTGAAAGGGAGCTGGGCCTGACTGTAGTCCTTTTGACGGTGTTAGGGTTTGGAGGATTATACCCCAAATCGGGAACGCCTGTGAGCCTTGTAACTTGGGATGATGCTGATGGCTCTTGCCGAGACACCAGACGTGGTGTGGGAGCTTGTGCGGTTGTGGCCGTCAAGGGCTGTTCAGACTGCATGTGCTTCCGTATCTGCGCCCTGTTTTGTAATGTCTGCTCTTCTGGGCTCTGAGTGAGGGCCTCCCGCGCAGGCGCCAGTGGCCTCCTGGGCGACTGTGTGCTGGGAGCCTGCGTGTGGTCCACACGGGGCTGGCTTTCTCTTGCTAGCCTGCCCTCTAGTGGCGTCAGGGAGATAAATGTGTCGGTGCCCATGTTGCTTGCTTGACGTAGGAGATGAGTTTCTAGCCAGTAGGGTCTGAATCAAACTGATACAAGGGAAGCTTTGTGTTGTGTCATTAATTTTTTCCCTTTTATTTTTATTTCTGAGTCAAGGTACTTGGCGTAAGAGAAAGAACATGGGTTTGGAGTGGGATGGACTTGAGTTCGAATCTGGCTTTGCTACATCTGGGGAAATCATTTATCTCCCTGGGCCTGTTTCATGATCTGGATTATGGGATGGGAGGTTATGGGGGAAGAGGGGATGGACGGGAAACACCCAGCATGTATGTACTGGGTACAGAAGAGATGCTCAATACTTGTTATTGTGGTTATTGTTTTTTTTGTTCAGTGGATGAATATAGCCTTGCTTTAGCATTAAGAATCACTGTTCCCCCTCTGTGGCAAGGAGGTGTGGTCTACAGAGAGACACTGAAATGTAGAAGGGAGTTGCTGCTACTGAAAGGAGCTCTCAAACTCCTGACGCATCATGAAGAGTGTTACACGTATCAGTTTTTCTTTTCTTTCCTGCCACGTTTTCCTGTGGCAGGTTTCTGAAACCAAGGCATACCTGTAAATAAGCCTTCCTTTCAGAAGTAAATTGGGAGGACTTTATAGTGCCTGTGAGAAGACTTAGGAAGAATAGACCAGGACAGAAAAGGAAGCCAGAATAATTAATAATAATAATGAATAATGTCTTTGCACGTTGAGAGAAGAGGTACTTTTCTTAAGACAGGTTTTAGCTACTCAGGCTTTGCCCATAAAGATTTTAAGATTTAACTTATTTATAAATTCCTCTGTATTTCAATAATTC